GAGTACTTCTACTTTTACTCAAGTACAAGATCTGAGTACTTCTACTTTTACTCAAGTACAAGATCTGAGTACTTCTACTTTTACTCAAGTACAAGATCTGAGTACTTCTACTTTTACTCAAGTACAATATCTGAGTACTTCTACTTTTATTCAAGTGCAATACCTGAGTACTTCTACTTTTATTCAAGTGCAATACCTGAGTACTTCTCCCCCCTCTGTACTGTACAAATGTACAGTTTGTTTCAGTCAGTCTGGTGGCTTTGGTTTGTCCGACAGCAAGTTAAAGTAGTAGAAATATTCTCAATATAAAATCTGATCCAATCCATTACTTTGTGAAACTCTCGCTAGTGAAGTTCCTTTTCGGTTTTTCCTCATCGTGCAATGTTCAAGTCTAACCTGAAGGTGTCACCAGATTCAATCTAACATTTAATAATCCATTCCTTGCACAATTAATGTATATATAATATCCTGCTTATATTTTGTTACTGTCAATTTGTATTTCCACATATATATTTTTTACTTTTTTAATGCTATTTTATTTCTATTTGAGACGTTTACATTTTGGATTGTTTATTTCCAGTCTCTTAATTTCTCTATTGTACAATGCCATGTCTTTTTATGCTGCTGCAATGCAAACATTTCCCAAATTGGGATCAATAAAGTACTTCTTATCTTATCTTACTAAAGGTCAGAGGTCAGCGTCTCTGCAGAGAGGAAGTGGCTTCTCTGCGAGCCGGATCCTGTTTCAGCTTTCTAAGTTTAGTCTGTCAGGGTGAGGCTGATGTAAGATCAGCACACGTTGCATCTGCTCAGCTGAAACTAGGAGGGCGGGTTCATGGAGAAGTATTTAGAAAGACATGGGAGCTGAGGTGGAAGCTGGGGTGGAAGCTGGGGTGGAAGCTGGGGTGGAAGCTGGGGGTGGAAGCTGTGGTGGAAGCTGGGGTGGGAGCTGGGGTGGAAGCTGGGGTGGAAGCTGGGGTGGAAGCTGGGGGTGGAAGCTGTGGTGGAAGCTGGGGGTGGAAGCTGGGATGGAAGCTGGGGTGGGAGCTGGGGTGGAAGCTGGGGTGGAAGCTGGGGTGGAGGTGGGAAGCTGGGGTGGAAGCTGGGGTGGAAGCTGGGTGGAAGCTGGGGTGGGAAGCTGGGGTGGACTGGGGTGGAGCTGGGAGCTGGGGTGGGAGCTGGGGTGGGAAGCTGGGGTGGAAGCTGGGGTGGAAGCTGGGGTGGAAGCTGGGGTGGAAGCTGGGTGGAGGTGGGAGCTGGGGTGGAAGCTGGGTGGAAGCTGGGATGGAAGCTGGGGTGGAAGCTGGGGTGGAAGCTGGGTGGAGGTGGGAGCTGGGGGTGGGAGCTGGGGTGGAAGCTGGGGTGGAAGCTGGGATGGAAGCTGGGTGGAAGCTGGGGGTGGAAGCTGGGGGGGAAGCTGGGGTGGGAGCTGGGGTGGGAGCTGGGGTGGAAGCTGGGGTGGAAGCTGGGGTGGGAGCTGGGGTGGAGCTGGGTGGAAGCTGGGGTGAGAGCTGGGGTGGAAGCTGGGGTGGAAGCTGGGGTGAGAGCTGGGGTGGAAGCTGGGGTGGAAGCTGGGATGGAAGCTGGGGTGGAAGCTGGGATGGAAGCTGGGGTGGAAGCTGGGGTGGAAGCTGGGGTGAAGCTGGGTGAAGCTGGGATGGAAGCGGGGTGGGAGCTGTGGAGTGGAAGCTGGGGTGGGAGCTGGGGTGGAAGCTGGGGTGGAGCTGGGATGGAAGCTGGGGTGGAAGCTGGGGTGGGAGCTGGGGTGGAAGCTGGGGTGGGAGCTGGGGTGGGAGCTGGGGTGGAAGCTGGGGTGGAAGCTGGGGTGGGAGCTGGGGTGGAAGCTGGGGTGAGAGCTGTGGTGGAAGCTGGGGTGAGAGCTGGGGTGGAAGCTGGGGGTGGAAGCTGGGGGTGGAAGCTGGGGGTGGAAGCTGGGGGTGGAAGCTGGGGGTGGAAGCTGGGATGGAAGCTGGGGTGGAAGCTGGGGTGGGAGCTGGGGTGGAAGCTGGGGTGGAAGCTGGGGGTGGAGGTGGAAGCTGGGGTGGAAGCTGGGGTGGAGGTGGGAGCTGGGGTGGAAGCTGGGATGGAAGCTGGGGTGGAAGCTGGGGTGGGAGCTGGGGTGGAAGCTGGGGTGGAGGTGGGAGCTGGGGTGGGAGCTGGGGTGGAAGCTGGGGTGGAAGCTGGGATGGAAGCTGGGGTGGAAGCTGGGGGTGGAAGCTGGGGTGGAAGCTGGGGTGGGAGCTGGGGTGGGAGCTGGGGTGGAAGCTGGGGTGGGAGCTGGGGTGGGAGCTGGGGTGGGAGCTGGGGTGGAAGCTGGGGTGAGAGCTGGGGTGGAAGCTGGGGTGGAAGCTGGGGTGAGAGCTGGGGTGGAAGCTGGGATGGAAGCTGGGGTGGAAGCTGGGATGGAAGCTGGGGTGGAAGCTGGGGTGGAAGCTGGGATGGAAGCTGGGGTGGAAGCTGGGGTGGAGGTGGAAGCTGGGGTGGGAGCTGGGGTGGAAGCTGGGGTGGAGCTGGGGTGGAAGCTGGGGTGGAAGCTGGGGTGGGAGCTGGGATGGAAGCTGGGATGGAAGCTGGGGTGGAAGCTGGGGTGGGAGCTGGGGTGGAAGCTGTGGTGGAAGCTGGGGTGGGAGCTGGGGTGGAAGCTGGGGTGGAAGCTGGGGTGAGAGCTGGGGTGGAAGCTGGGGTGAGAGCTGTGGTGGAAGCTGGGGTGGGAGCTGGGGTGGAAGCTGGGGTGAGAGCTGGGGTGGGAGCTGGGGTGGAAGCTGGGGTGGAAGCTGGGGTGAGAGCTGGGGTGGAAGCTGGGGTGGAAGCTGGGGGGGTGGTGGTGGGGCAGGCGAGCAGCAGCAACATGAAACACAGCAGCAGGAACATGAACGCAGCAGCAGCAAGTGAACACAGCAGTGGCAGCATAGCGAGGCAGGAAGACCTGGCAGCTTAAATAGAGCGGCATGTTTAGGAGAATGTGTTTGGTTGGTTGTAAGAGGGACGAGGTGTGTCACGTGTTAATGTATGATTGGTGCTCGAGTTGACTGCCTGAACTAGCTTGCAGGCTTCGGCCCATTTATTAAACTGAATATCAATAATTATAATAATTATAATAGACGTAAATAACTCAAAGATGGGGGTTGATGGAAAACTAAAACACATTTTCTATTCTTTTTTATTTATCAAGAAATGTTTTCTATAGAAAGTACACATTTAAAATCCACCACAGATTCTCTTGAATGTCTGTGAAAGTAAAATATAAAATGGCACCAAAATGTAACTGTATTTAAAGTGATGACTCAGGACTCTAAGGAAATCCCTCTGGCTCCAGACTTCTGTCTCTCTTCAGCATTAACATTGCGTTAAAACTCTAAAACTCTATAAATAGAAGATATGAATTTATGATGAGCTCACAGTCTGACTCCAGAGCTGTTTTAAATGTGCATATAAATAGACTTCACATGGATTCATATTAACGTACGGGTTGTTCTGCTGATCATTCTTGACATTTATTGATAATTGATTTTGTAAAATCTATTGTTATTATTATTCTTTTAAAAATAAATACATTTGAAATCATTTAAAAGACAAACACCACATTTTCAAAGTTAATAATCACAAAACTATAATAAATAACTTTGCATTACAGTTGAAATCATTTCACAATATAAGTTACGGTACGTCCACACGGCAGCGTCACGTGCTTCAACGGAGACGCTTCCCATTCACTTTGAAAGGGGTGACGTCACGCTTTGCCGAACTGCATTGTGGTCCCGACGCGTCGCTTTGCCTCCGTTGCTCGCTTCGAAAGTTCAACTTTTCAAGCGTCGAAGGAAGCGCCAGCCAATCAAATCCTATGCCAGTACAAGTGCTAGCCAATCAAACCGCGTGCTTGTGTGTCCGGGGCGGGAGATTCATGTTGTTGGTCGCGAGCCAGACACGCCCACCGGGAAGCTTCAACGCGACGCTGCCGTGTAGACGTACCGTTAATGATTCTTTTAATAATGGATTCATCTAAATCAGGAGTGCTGCCACAAAAATAAATTATACAATTATTACAATATCACCAAATCCTTACATTTGAGATTTTTAAACCACAAATACACTTTCTTTTTAATTATAGAGGCGAAGTCTCTCCCTTTCCGGTGGAGCTCCATGGAACCTTATTTCGGAAAAAGTATGTATTGAAGTCAATGGAGAGAGAAAGATTATCTTTCAATCCCGTTTGAATTGTGCCACGAATTACACATATGATTTTTGTCCATTTAAAAGATAATTTTGCAAGTTAAAAAAATAAAAACGTGTCGTAAAACTGTGAAGTAACACTTTTTTTGGTGTGAAACCGCTCAATGAACTACATCTCCCGTCTCGCACCACACACCAAGACGGCCGTCACGTTGAAACATTTCACTTCTTTCTTTCAGAACGAGGCGGAAAGTATTAAAAGAGGTGAAAATCACGCATGTTGAGAGCTGTACATACACACAAGGGGAGTTAGTCGGTTCCGTGAGAGCCATCATGCGGGACCGGCTATACAAGGTTTCGGTGAGTAACACGAGTGTAATGTGTACCGTTAATGACATCACTTACGCGACTCTGGGATTTGTAGTCTTTCTAGTTGCGTATTTTTCATAGTCTTATATTTCAACAGTTTTACGACAAACTGTGACTTTTTTGACATGGAAATTATTTGTTAAGATTGATAAACATGTGTGTAATTCGTGGCACTACTCAAACGGGATCGAAAGATAATCTTTCTCTCTCCATTGACTTCAATACATATTTTTCCGAAATAAGGTCCCATGGCTCGGAAGTAGATGGGCGGCACTTCACCTCTCTATAGAGTTACTCTAATAGTCAAACTCTGTTGATTGACCAAAGCAGAACATAATAGACATTCAGTTGAGTGAAAACATTTCTTTCTGAGACGTAGAGCAGCAGAAGTAGAAAGAAAGGAAAACCCCAGAGCACCTCAAAGAAGAGTGAACATTAAATAATGAAGTAGGAGTCGTGAGTAATGTTTAATTTAGATCGTTTAATGTTAATTCCATGCTGTGTTTCAGTCAGAACGTACAGATTCCCTGTCTGCGGCTCCAGTCAGATCTCCAGTAGTACAAATCAGCTCCAAGTTTACACACAATGAAGCAAAACGAGAAGAAAACAAAGAAAGAAAAACCTCCGAAACCAGAGGCGCTTTTTTAGTGAAGAACAGAAAGTGTTAACTCATGCAAGCACTGACAATCTTCTTTTTATTATTTTAGGGCTCTCGGTTCGAGAAGCGATGGACGAATCGAGTGTGAAATCTCCCATTTCTCTTTTAAATTAAAAACCACCAGCTAGCTGCAGAGATCCAGTTACAGTATTTCAGCACAAAAGTACAGTCCAAGGACAAAAACATGACGACAGAATCACGATGGTGTAAAACTTTGCACGCCTTTGCCCCATGTGGATAATCCCCCTAACCCCCCCCCCCAAACAAAAGGGCACGTTACCAAATCGCCCGTCAAATGATTCGCATGACACTATAAACAGATAAAACACCTCCCATAACTAATAGTCAACATTATCAGTAATAAAAGTTAATTTCTGTAATTACATAAATCTCAATACATCCAGCCAACTGATAAAGATATTGAGGATAAAGCAAAAAAAACAACAACATACCATAATGAATATTTCAGAACCGCTTGTACCAGGACAGAAAAACAACAACAACAACAACAACAGGGACTCTCTTCAGTCTCCTCTCTAACGGTGACCTTCCCGTCTCAAGTGCTATTTTACTCGTTTAATGAAGTAAGGACTAATATAAAAATAAAAAATAAAGAGAAAAATAAAGTTGTTAACTCTGTGGCCCTGCTGGGTCGAGGAGCTGCAGAGGGGAGGGGGGGAGGGAAGGAGGGAGGAGGGGGGGGAAGGAGAGGAGGGAGGAGGGGGGGAGGAGAGGATGGAGGAGGGAGGGGAGAGGAGGAGGGGGGGGAGAGGAGATGAGGAGGGTTGAGGGTCTAGATGGAGGAGGAATATGGAGGGTCTAGAGAGTGTGAGGGAGGGTCTGAGTTGTTGGAGGAGGTGAGGAAGAGGATTGAGGGTCTGGAGGAAGATGAGGGAGGGTCTGAGTTGTTGGAGGAGGTGAGGAAGAGGATTGAGGGTCTAGAGGAAGGTGAGGGAGGGTCTGAGTTGTTGGAGGAGGTGAGGAGGAGGATTGAGGGTCTGGAGGAAGATGAGGGAGGGTCTGAGTTGTTGGAGGAGGTGAGGAAGAGGATTGAGGGTCTGGAGGAAGATGAGGGAGGGTCTGAGTTGTTGGAGGAGGTGAGGAAGAGGATTGAGGGTCTGGAGGAAGATGAGGGAGGGTCTGAGTTGTTGGAGGAGGTGAGGAAGAGGATTGAGGGTCTGGAGGAAGATGAGGGAGGGTCTGAGTTGTTGGAGGAGGTGAGGAGGAGGATTGAGGGTCTGGAGGAAGATGAGGGAGGGTCTGAGTTGTTGGAGGAGGTGAGGAGGAGGATTGAGGGTCTGGAGGAAGATGAGGGAGGGTCTGAGTTGCTGGAGGAGGTGAGGAGGAGGATTGAGGGTCTGGAGGAAATGAGGGAGGGTCTGAGTTGTTGGCTGTCGGTTGGTCGTCTCACTGAGCTTCATCCTCAACGTCCTGCAGCGCCTCTTTGTTCGGTTCTTCACCTGGAACACAACAACAACATTTAAATGATTTTGTTTATCTATGTTTATTAAAACATTTTATTGTTCAACCTGGACTCTACTTTTTTATTAAACTAAATGATAATAATAATTTTATTTTTCATTATTTCTTGTTTTACCTCGTTGAGATTTACCTAAACTATATTTAAGCAATAGCTCACGGAGCGGTTGTCACGGCGCGGTTGTCACGGCGCGGTTGTCAGGGCGCGGTTGTCACGGCGCGGTTGTCAGGGCGCGGTTGTCACGGCGCGGTTCTCACGACGTGATTCTCATGGCGTGATTCAACCCCCTTAGCCGTGATATACTGAGCATATATCACGGCCTGAAGTGAGCTATTGCTTTTATAAAACGGTTACCAAGTGTGGCAATATGAAAGAAAAATACGCACTCTAATTTAAATAGTTTTTATTAGTAAATAATGATGTTCAAAATAAAATAGTCCCTCCGTTGCCTTCTGCACAAAACATAGTTGTTGTTGTTGTTGTGGTTGCTATGCAACAACACTAACAGCTAGCGAACATATTAGACAGAGAGCGTTGATCCATTATTTGGCTTTTTATTTACATGAATGTGTATGTAGCCGTTTATTGTGCAGCCACTGAAAACCTGTCCAGCATCAGCAGCATGCTTACGAGGTCACTTGTATAGGTTGAGGTTGTTCTAGGCTGTTGCTTGGCGTGGTGAGAATATTGCTCCACTTTCTCCGGTCCCCGAGATTCGGCTTCCAGCAGCTCTGGAGAGAGCTTTCGCACCTGTGGCCACTAACGGTCATCATTTCTCTGCTTTGTTTCAAGACCCGCATCAGAAAGCTTTTGAATGGTGGAACTTTCCCAGTTGGTCTACCTGCTCTTCACGTAGCTCTGCATGTCGTCGTTTAGGTGCTCTCTGGAGATAGGCACTCCTCAATCCACTCCTCCATAGTAAGACCCCCCCGGAGGTCCAAGTTAACCTTAAATGTTTCCATCTTAAAGTGGACCTATCATGCTATATTTGAACAATATATTGTCGGGCCATACCTATATAAATATAGTTTTTTTTTCAAAATACCAAAAAGATCCTGCATTTTAGCCATGCCTCATTTCGCTCTATTTGCTCTTTCCAGCGCTGTTTTTGCAGGGGCTGATTCTGTGAGCTGCACCTGACCACGCCCCCTGCAGGAGAGGGGAGCGTGCTTTGAGATCAGCTGCTGGGCTGCAGCGGGGAGAAGAGGGGGAGAAAAAGAGATCTCCCTCCTCCGTGTTTTATTATATTATTATAAGTCGTTATTCATTTGTTTTAAAGATCAATAAATAACAAAGAAGACCTTTGACCGGCACTTTTCTAATTTTGTCCGGAAGATTTAAACTTTAACGGACATGTTGACCAGCGAAAACAAATCGAACTGAAACTCTGCCGCACGGTCCCCTCATCCCTTGGAAGAGGCGGAGAAGTGGGTGCTTGCTGCTGGTGGACTAACCGGAGAGAATTACAGCGAGGGAGGGATTGCATTGAATTACAGCAGCGGGGAGGGAGAAAAAGAGCCACAGCGGAGAATAAACAGAAGGGCAACCATGGCAACCATGCGCGGGAAGTCTTCTTCGCTGCTTTTGTGGCAGACTACAGCGCCACTTACAGGCCTGGCATATGTACTACAGCGTCTCCAGCGCTTTCGAGCGGCAATGGCCGGCGGTGGCCCAACCCCACATTCCCCTGATAGGTGGAGAGTTGGCCATATAGGCGGAGCGCCACCGTCATGACAGTGTTCAGCCCCTTTTTTTTTTTAGAGATTTGGGTATGGAGGAAAAGAGAGAGGGTTGTGTTTTCTGACACTTGGTGAGTTCCCTGGAACACCGGGGACACATATTCACGTATAAAAGACGTACAAAAGTGCATTTTGCATGATAGGTCCCCTTTAAGCTTAGTTAGTTAGTTAGTTTCGTAACGGACGTAATGTAACAGCTGTAACGGTTGTAGCTTTTCTCAGACGCGGAGGGATACTGACTTGTGAAAAGTAACTACAATTCTACCCGTGATATACGCTCATTATATCACGGTTAAGAACCAATCAGATTGCTTGATTTGACTTGTCCGTGTTATAAGTAGAAAATATGAAATGATATGCTGAACAAAGTGCATCTGACAATGAAATAAGCCAATAAATAAAAAGTATTACAAAAAGTAAGATTATTTAATTAGACAGGTAGCTGATAAAAGATTTTAAAAAATGTAAAAAATTGATATATTAAAAAGGAGGGGTCTGAGCTCATGGGGGACCCGGCAGCTACCGTCTAAACTAAATGCTGCCGTGATGAAACGCCATATCATGGATTATCAAGGATTCTCTCTGAAACAGTCTGGAGCTCAAAGGCTTTCTCTCTTGCCGGTTATACCACAAGGTGAGTTCCTTTTTACTTCCTGCTTCTTCACACACATGCTCTCCAGTACAGGTTAGCTCTGAGTGTTAGCGATGCTAATGTAAACACCGACCATATTACGTCCAAAACAGTCGGGCATTGTTTCTGATAGCAACGTTTCTGATTGGGCCGTGGGTCCACATTTCAGATATTACGTCATATCGAACGCAAATCTGGATCAGCTCCGTTGTTCCCCGTTTTTAGAGATTTGGGTACGGAGGAAAAGAGAGAGGGTTTTATTTTCTGAGGCTGCGTGAGTTCCCCGACGCACCGGGGACACATGTTTATGTATAAAATATATCACTAAGTGCATTTTGCATGATAGGTCCCCTTTAAGGCACGTTTTAAATGAAGTATAAAAGCGTTTTCGGCAGGTTACCGAGAGATGAGTGAGTTAGTTCATCCGTTAGGGTTTCTAGTCCAGATTTCAGATACAGTAATAAAGTGGAAGGCTGTGGCTCAGTGGATAGTGCGCTGAACTTCAAATCAGGGGGTAGCAAGTTCGAGTCCCACTGCAGTCAGCATCTCGTTGTGTCCCTGAGACACTTATCCCGAAATTGCTCCTGTGGGGATTGTCCACAGTACTGAATGTATGTAAGTCGCTTTGGATAAAAGTGTGTAATGTAAAGTATATTAGTAGTTATGAATAGAGACACGTTGATACAACAGATCTCACCTTCTCCCTGCATATCTGAAGTCCATAATGTGAGGTTATCACGTAACAACTGCATGATGAGTGTGGAGTCCTTATAGCTGTCTTCATTCAGTGTGTCCAGTTCTGTGATGGCGTCATCGAACGCAGCCTTCGCCAACCTGAGACAGACACACACACACTTCTGTTAAAGAAAAGAGCCTTTTACTCTGAAAAATACAAGCGTTTCACTGCGTTAAAACCAGCGTTTCACTGTGTTAAAACCAGCGTTTCACTGCGTTAAAACCAGCGTTTCACTGCGTTAAAACCAGCGTTTCACTGCGTTAAAACCAGCGTTTCACTGCGTTAAAACCAGCGTTTCACTGCGTTAAAACCAGCGTTTCACTGCGTTAAAACCAGCGTTTCACTGCGTTAAAACCAGCGTTTCACTGCGTTAAAACCAGCGTTTCACTGCGTTAAAACCAGCGTTTCACTGCGTTAAAACCAGCGTTTCACTGTGTTAAAACCAGCGTTTCACTGCATTAAAACCAGCGTTTCACTGTGTTAAAACCAGCGTTTCACTGTGTTAAAACCAGCGTTTCACTGTTAAAACCTGGTTAAAACCAGCATTTCACTGTGTTAAACCCAGCATGTTACTGTGTACTCTACAAAGTAAAGTGACTAGCAGTTAGTTAGGTAGTGTCAGAAGGTAGATTAAACTCAAAAAGATGGAAGCTTCTCTGACATAAAGGCTTCCTTTAAAGCGTCAGAATAACTCCTGTGATCTAATTTTAGACGGTAAATCCCAGCTTATTCTTCTAGTGAATGACCCTAAAAGAGAGAGTGTGTGTGTGTGACCTGCAGGCGCGGTCGGGGGAGTTGAGGATCTCGTAGTAGAAGACGGAGAAGTTGAGAGCGAGTCCCAGGCGGATGGGGTGCGTTGGAGGAAGCTCCAGCATGGCGAGGTCTGTTGCAGTTTTATACGCAACGAGACTGTTCTCTGCTGCCTCCTTCCTGTTGTTCCCCGTGGCAAACTCTGCCAGGTACCGGTGGTAATCTCCCTTCCTGTGGGGAACGAGAAGAAATCAAGACATTAACTGGATGAAGTTAAGTGTATGATTAGAGGCAAACAAGACATTATTAACTGGATGAAGTCTTAGGTCGCATTCACACCAGCCTTGTTTAGTTCGGTTGAATCGAATCCTGGTGCGTTTACCCCCTTGGTGCGGTTTGTTTGGGTTGGAGACCTCTGAGGGGAACTAAACAACCTGGAAGAGGTGGTCTCAGACCTCTGAGGGGAACTAAACAACCTGGAAGAGGTGGTCTCAGACCTCTGAAGGGAACTAAACAACCTGGAAGAGGTGGTCTCAGACCTCTGAAGGGAACTAACAACTGGAAGAGGGGGTCTCAGACCTCTGAGGGGAACTAAACAACCTGGAGAGGTGGTCTCAGACCTCTGAGGGGAACTAAACAACCTGGAAGAGGTGGTCTCAGACCTCTGAAGGGAACTAAACAACCTGGAAGAGGTGGTCTCAGACCTCTGAGGGGAACTAAACAACCTGGAAGAGGTGGTCTCAGACCTCTGAAGGGAACTAAACAACCTGGAAGAGGTGGTCTCAGACCTCTGAAGGGAACTAAACAAACTGGAAGAGGTGGTCTCAGACCTCTGAAGGGAACTAAACAACCTGGAAGAGGTGGTCTCAGACCTCTGAAGGGAACTAAACAACCTGGAAGAGGTGGTCTCAGACCTCTGAGGGGAACTAAACAACCTGGAAGAGGTGGTCTCAGACCTCTGAAGGGGAACTAAACAACCTGGAAGAGGTGGTCTCAGACCTCTGAAGGGAACTAAACAACCTGGAAGAGGTGGTCTCAGACCTCTGAAGGGAACTAAACAACCTGGAAGAGGTGGTCTCAGACCTCTGAGGGGAACTAAACAACCTGGAAGAGGTGGTCTCAGACCTCTGAGGGGAACTAAACAACCTGGAAGAGGTGGTCTCAGACCTCTGAGGGGAACTAAACAACCTGGAAGAGGTGGTCTCAGACCTCTGAGGGGAACTAAACAACCTGGAAGAGGTGGTCTCAGACCTCTGAAGGGGAACTAAACAACCTGGAAGAGGTGGTCTCAGACCTCTGAAGGGAACTAAACAACCTGGAAGAGGTGGTCTCAGACCTCTGAGGGAACTAAACAACCTGGAAGAGGTGGTCTCAGACCTCTGAGGGGAACTAAACAACCTGGAAGAGGTGGTCTCAGACCTCTGAGGGGAACTAAACAACCTGGAAGAGGTGGTCTCAGACCTCTGAGGGGAACTAAACAACCTGGAAGAGGTGGTCTCAGACCTCTGAGGGGAACTAAACAACCTGGAAGGGGTGGTCTCAGACCTCTGAGGGGAACTAAACAACCTGGAAGAGGTGGTCTCAGACCTCTGAGGGGAACTAAACAACCTGGAAGAGGTGGTCTCAGACCTCTGAGGGGAACTAAACAACCTGGAAGAGGTGGTCTCAGACCTCTGAAGTGAACTAAACCATCGGACTCTGGTCCGCTAAAATAGGTGGTCTCGGAGCGCTTGCTAGTGAACTCTGGAGTGGATCATCGCTGGTGTGAACGCAGTCCGCACCAAAACATAGGAAGCGTAGTATTTACATGTCACAAGAACGCGGATGTCTTTAAAAATCTTTAGCGAAAGAGTGAAGCAGAATGAAGTGTTGAACAGTGTCGTGTAAGGTAAAAATGCTCCGTCAGCTACATAAAAGTAAGAACACCTGTCGTCGGTGAAACCTCCTCCTGACTGCATAACGTCTCATTATATGTGTTATAATCAGGGCTGCACATAACTGGTGCGCAGGTGCGCGTGCACCCGCCGCGAAAAAAAGAGCACCGGATCATTTGAAAAAAGGCGCATTTGCACACCAACATTGAGAGAGAGAGATATTTGCGAGTTGCATATGAACGGGTAAGATAGCAGGGTTTCCCACACATAGACTTTACCTGGGCGGGCCACCCAGGTATATTAACGGCCGCCAAAGTATAATTCGTAAGCCGTTTAGGTTTGATTTTTTTAATCCGTCCGCGAGCACGACGGCATCTGTCGATCCCTCGCTCTACCCCCTCGCTATCGTGTGAAGGGTCTGCTTTATGCACTCCGCACAGTAACCCTGCTGCGAGGCTCCGGTGAACAGTCCATGAGCGTGCTCACTAGCGCAACTCCCCCCCCCCCCCCCCCGTTTATAAAGTCAAGTACCCCTCAATTAGATCTCTTGCATCATTGGGTTTATTAAACATGCATTATCATCTCACTTTCAGCTGCTCTGTACTTGTTATTAATGAAACTGATATTGATGAAACTGATTTGCTCGACCGTCTCAAATTGTAATGATTGTGTGCATTGCTTGAATTTCACTTAAAGACTGTGTGTGGTTTGTCTTGTGTGTCATGTTTTGCATTTTGTCTTTTTGTTTATGTATGTCTGTAAGTTGTTGCTATTGTCGGGACCCCCTTGAAAACGAGATGGTGCATCTCAAGGGGTTTATCCCAATCAATAAACATTTCTATATAAAAGGTCCGGTTTATTTAATTGTAAGGATACGCACCAAGCAACATCTCCAGGTGCTCCTTTGAGAACCAGGGCAAAAGGTGCACCCCAGGTTATAATGTCTTTTATCGCACGTTGTCTGATTTTATAATGATATGGGCCGTCCACTAGGTTCTGTTATATGCTCCAAAGCTACGGTAGAAATAGCCAGGATTTGCGTTTTTACCCCCTTAATGTCTGACCAATGGTTGAACAGCATTTCCGTGCACATGACTTGTGTTTAAAGTTTATAGTCCGTTTGAGTTTCGCCGTGTGAACGCAAACCGAACCTCCTGAAGAATGAAACCATGTAACAAACTGTGGTCTGGTGCAAAGAAGCGAGGGCCACATACAGAAAAAT